AAGGGGATCACATAAGATGACCAGCGGATCATATAGATGAACACATAGTATAGTTTTCATTGAACAGAAAGAAATAAGGAGATCAGGTAAGTCGGCCATCTATGTGTACATACTCTTTTTCATTATGGAACAGATATGAGGGGATCGCGTAAAAGGATCAGGTGATCATCTTGATGTGCATAATTATACTATAGCTTTCATTGAACAGAAGTAAGGGGATCACGTAAGATAACCAGGTGATCATCTAGATGTATATATACTATTTGCGTCCGTGGCCGAGTGGTTAAGGTCGTTGACTTCAAACCACTTGCCCCTCACCGCTTTGGGTTCGAATCCCGACAGGGACTTTGGATTCTTTCATGTGAGGAAGCTATCCAGCTTGCTTACGGAACGTCGGTGGTTCTTATCAGGTGCCCGTTCGTGCCTAAAAAAATGCATGGAAGGGCACCTGAGGTCGCCCTCCACCAGTAAAATTGGAACGTCGCGATAATCTTACGTGATCCACTTATTTCTGTTCAATGAAAACTATAGTATATGTACATCTAGATGATCCCTTCGTCATTTTACGTGATCCCATCATATTTGTTCCAAAATGAAAAAGAGAATGTACATCTACATGATATCCTTGTAATCTAACGTGACCCCCTTATTTCTGTTCAATGATAACTATAGTATATGTACATCTAGATGATCCCCTTGTCATCTTACGTGATCCCCTTATTAAATGTATCTGTTCCATAATAAGAAATAGTATATGTACATCTAGATGATCACCTGGTTATCTTACGTGATCCCCTTATTTCTGTTCTATGAAAACTATAGTATATGTACATCTACATGATCCCCTTATCATTTTACGCGATCCCCTCATATATGTTCCATAATGAAAAAGAGTATGTACATCTATATGATCTCCTGGTCGTCTTACCTGATCCCCTTATTTCTTTCTCTTTAATGAAAACTAAAGTATGTGTTTATTTAGATGCACCGCTGGTCATCTTACGTGACCCCCTTATTTCTGTTTAATGAATACTATAGTATATGTACATCTAGATGATACCCTTGTCATCTTACGTGATCTCCTTATTAAATGTATCTGTTCCATAATAAGAAATAGAATATGTACATCTACATGATCCCCTTGTCATTTTACGCGATCCCCTCATATCTGTTCCATAATGAAAAAGAGTATGTACACATAGATGATCCCCTGGTCGTCTTACCTGATCTCCTTATTTCTTTCTGTGTAATGAAAACTAAAGTAGATGATCCGCTGGTCATCTTACGTGACCCCCTTATTTCTGTTTAATGAATACTATAGTATATGTACATCTTGATGATCCCCTGGTCATCTTACGTGATCCCCTTATTTCTGTTCAATGAATACTATAGTATATGTACATCTAGATGATCCCCTTGTCATTTTATGCGATCCCCTCATATCTGTTCCATAGTGAAAAAGAATATGTACATCTAGATGATCCCCTGGTCATCGTACGTGATTCCCTTATTTCTTTCTGTTCAATTAAAACTATATTAAATGTACATCTACATGATCCCCTTGTCATCTTACGTGATCCCCTTATTTCTTTTCAATGGATACTATAGTATATGTACATCTAGATATTCCCCTTGTATTCTTACGTGATCCCCTTATATCTGTACCATAATAAAAAAAGAGTTTATGTACATATAGATGATCCCCTTGTCATTTATTTGATCCCCTCATATATGTTCCAGAATAAAAAAGAGTATATACATCTAGATGTCACCTGGTCATCTTACGTGATCCCCTTATTTCTGTTCCATGAAAACTATAGTATATGTACATCTAGATAATCCCCTGGTCATCTTACGAGATACCCTTATATCTGTTCCATAATAAAAATGTTTATTTGCATTTCCCTCATATATTTTTTTTAAGAACTACTGGCATGCGAGCAGTTCCCGTACAGAAGCAGTACCCGTATTTTTCATTTAAACGCTTGATTTTTACTTGCAAACTTCAAAAATTCATTTCAAATCAAGCAGATGCATAAAAGAGACAAAATCTAAGTGTCAGTTCGGCAGTACGTATAAAAGTCTCATTTTAAATCACTTTCACCTGTGCGTTGTCAAAACGTGACCTTGTTTTCTCTGGGGGATTCCGTCCTTGCGCGCATGCGCTAAAATACTTACACGTGAGGCCTGTTAAAGGGTTTTCCACTAATACCACCTGTTTACAGATTAGTAGGCAATGTGGTGAAAACTTGTTTAATTATCAGAATTTTGATCAATATTACTAAAGTAAATAATTTTATGGCTTTGATGCGTAAAATATCATGTGTCGTAGGGTAAAAATATCATAAATGTATTCCGTTGTTTTTGTTTATTTGTAAATCATGACCCGACTTGTACTCCGTAGATTTTCCCGATATTTTCAATAACTAATCTTTGATCTGTTTATACACGTGACACTTTTCAACCAATCATAATTTACTTTTCTAGTCAAACCCGTTTTTCAAATTGTATACGCTTTTTATAGTGCAATTAAAACACCAATATCTCTGGATATATTAAATATTTATTCAGGTAAATTAGATTTTTGTATTTTATAAACATATCTCTAAATATACTGTAAGTCTTAAGTTTGATAATTATATAATGTAATAGTATTAACGAAATCAATTTTGTGTTTTGTTAGCGGACTGTAACGCGCCATCACACCTACATGTATATTGTTTCGTTTGTTTACATTTTTGACAGCTGTCATCTGTCAAATGATTATTCTATATGTTATGTTTGTATAATGTTATTTTCTTTATATTTTCAGATTTGTTTTCTTCTTTATCATATTTATTGATAAAGTGATTGTATTAAACCCCAATTATAAACTTTTAAAATAGTTTTGTCATTACCCAAACCTACAAACCTTATACTGTTATACGGAAGCTGAGAGGCCGGTGACAAATGGCGCCCAACGTGGTTTATGGGGTTATTTGGATTAAAATGCAGTAAAGCAATTTTACATCTATAGAAGATTTTCTTCTAAAGTTTAAATTTGAAATTATTTTGACGGTACCTATTATTCAACAGTGATCAACTGACGATTCTACAATACTAGGAATAGAGGATATACATAGTGACATTCATCAACGGAGGATATAAACATTCATAAACGGAGGATAGGAACATTTATAAACGGAGGATAGGAACATTCATAAACGGAGGATAGGAACATTCATAATCGGAGGATACCATTTAATTAGTTGGATATTTATCAATTGTGAGTGTATCAGTGTATGGAACATTGGATTGGATTTATTATATATTTTTGTGTGATTGTGATATTGTGCTTTTGGATTATTTATGTCATTCAAGGTGTGTGGTGAGTGAATTTATTGTTGTTTGTCTTTTTGATTTAAATTTTTGATATCATCATTGTCTTAGTGAAATTATTAAAAAAAAATTTAAAGGCATTAAATTTTTGTGTGCACACTTTTGCCATTTATAAAAGATAAACGTTTATTTTTCCAAATTAACTTTGGGTATTGCTGATTTTTATGTATCCCTAATCCTAATTGACTGATCGAGTCAGCGTTGTTATATATTTTATATCCGTGCGCAAATAGAAAAATTTCTGTTGTGCAAAGATATAAATATCCATTTTTATATTCCTATTTTCTTGTTTGTTAGTATCCAGTTGAAGTTTTTTTTTAACTGAATACTTACATTAATAATTTTTGCGTAAATTTTTGATTCACCGAAAAAATCAATAAGCTTTTTCCCGTGCTTCGATGTTCTATTGATCACTACGTATTTTATAACCTTTTATTATCATAAGGCTGTGTAGCCTATTGGATTAGATGATCGCGTAGTAAGCGAGAGGACCCCGGTTCGCTCCGTATTGTCGACACATTTTTTTTTTCTTATAAATTTATAAAGTTTATAAGAATATCGTTTTATATCAAAATATATTACATATCCAATCTATTCACATATACATAAAAAAATAAAACAATATATTTATACATACACATACACAAAACACATGATACAAATACTCATAAAAAGCGCTTGATATTATAAAGAACAATATATATATATATATGAAAGTGACTTTCTTGAAAACGAATTTGTACAAAATGTGGAATTAAAGATATAGAAATAAATGTTGATGAAACAATTAGACTTTGAAGAAGTGATTAAGAGAAATAGTAAAAGACACTTAGAGAACGTGAATTTACTGGAAGATACGTGAATGTATATAAAGTGCTTACCATGGGAATAAATGGATTGAAGAGATTGTTAGTGAAATGATAATTAAATGTATGGTGTATATGGTGGAACATAATCAAAAGTGTGAAACATCAAAAATTATGAATTTCACGTAAATGAATTAATAATGTAAAATCAAAATGGAATAACATGAAATATATCAAACGTGTATTTGAATAGTGAAAGTGTATAAACCAGATGTGAATAAAATTGTCATGAATATGACATATTGATGTCCTGAGAATAGAACTGAGTGTACATTGTGATAATATAAAAATATTATAGAGGTACAATAGTGCATATATCATTCATTACTGATATTACGCAATTTAATTGAAATATATGTGATGATATGAAACGGCTGAAATGGAATGACGGACATTATGAAATCGAATTTAACCTGTGATGAAATGAATTGAATAAATATGAATTAAAAATTATTGAATGTACAAAATTCAATGTGACATACAATAAACATAACAATTGGGGTATTCAAATGTGAATTGAATTGAATTGAATGAACATGAAAAAAAGTATGGAGTACATAAAGGATTATAAATTGTGAACATGAAATCGTTTTGAAAAGACAAATACACATACTTTGTGAAGCAACAGTGAATAGAAGTTGAAAATTGTAGAATATCTTGTGGAATTAAGATAAGTGTGAGTGAAATTGTGGAATAACGTGCTAATTGTGTACATTAATAAGATATTATCTAATATCTATATTTTGTGGAGATATAATGGCGGAGTATATGTCAGAACGAGAATTAAGGTTGAAAGAAAGACATAGGAGGAAAGAGGATGAAGAAGAAAGAATTAAGTTAAAAGAATTAGAAAGGGAGTTAATAGAAAAACATGAAAAGGAAATGAGAGACTTGAGATTACAACAAGAGAGGATAAGAAAGGAAAAGTGTGATAAATTAAAGCGTAGGAGAGAAATGTTAGAGAAAGAATTTATGTTAGAGAAAATGAAAGAACAAGAAAGAATGGTGCTAGATACATTTAAACTACCGGAACAAGAGACAAGTATTACTCAAAGAAAAGAAAGTGAGAGAATTACTTTCAACAAATCTATAAATGGAAGTATGGTGGATGATAATGGACATGGTGATGATAGTAATACAAGTGATGTTGAAAATGAACATAGTGACGATGATATTCTGTATTCTACACTGGACGAGTTAAAGTTTGACGATAGTGGAACTTTTATAGAAGTTGGACAACCAAATGATGCCAGTTCATTTATTGACTCATATCATGAAAAACTAAGAGATATAGACAAAGAGATACAGTGGTTACATAACAAGAATGAGTGTACTACACTCAACACAACCAGCACACACACAAGACATTAGTGTTAAAACCATCGACATAGTGAGCGAACAACCCCCACAAAAATCACACCAAATAACACACAAAAAAGAAACAAAACACACCAAAAAAACATAAAACAAAAAAACAAGAAAACAAAAACACAAAAAAAAAAAAAAACATAAAAAAAAAAACCACCACCCCACACACCATCACATACAGGCTGCGCCTTCCTACGGAACTCTCCCCTTTGCCCCCCGTCCCTGTGCCCCTCTTTCGCGCCCCCCCGTGCCTGCTCTGCCCGCCCCGGCTCATCCAGCGCCGCTTCTCGCCCGGCCCCTTCCTTACATCGCCCGTGCTGCTCCCGCGCCCGCTCTCGCCCCGCCCCTCCTCCCCCCCGTGACAAAGAAACCCCGCGCTGTTGCGCCCCCCTTCCCCTATCACCTCTTGAGAAAGTTGAACGAGAAGAGAAAGAAGGTTAGAAAGTGAATTGAATAAACAAGAGAACTCATTAGATATGTTAGTGAAAGAGCCTTTACGTGAAAGAAAGATGAAGTTTTGAAAATGAAAGGGAAAGTTTAAGAAAGACAGACAGAGAAAAGATAAAAGATAGAGAGAATGAACGCTGTATGAAAAGCAATGAACACGTGAAAAATAAGTTATTAAATCCTTCAATTCCTTTTTTGACAGAAAACACATTTGAAGAGTGGAAATTAGAGGTTGAAGTGATTATTGATTCTGATATGTATGATGAAAATGTGTTAAGACAAGCAGTGGAGAAATTCTCTTCGTGGTCAAACAAGAAAAATATTATTAACAATACCCTTCAACTTCAACAAGGGAAAATAATAAGCAAATTAGAAAATGTTTATGGAATGTACGAATCAGGTGAATCCGTTCTGTCTGAACTTTTATATGGCAAAACAAAGAAAGTGAGGAAGGAATAACAGAATGGGGAATAAGATTAGAAACTATTGTACAGAAAGCTATTGAGAAAGGACATGTAAGCGAGAGTCAAAAAGATGAAATGTTAAAGACAAGATTTTGGAGACAGTTAAAGAGTGAACAGTTGAAGAATGCTACCAGAATGTACTTTGAGACTGCTAAGTCATTTGAAGAATTAAGAAAGAAAGTGAGATTGGAAGAATACGAAATGTTTAGGTGAAGAATACAGCATAGAGAAGGGAAAGAACGAGTGGTAGATAGACAGATAGAGACAGTAGTCGGAGGAAATATTTTGAAAGATTTGGCTCATATAGAATGACTCAGTTTAGAAGATGAAATGAAGACAAAGAGGAGACAGACAAGAGATTACACGGCAGAATAAAGTATAATGACATACAAAAGAACCGGGTATAGAAGGGAAGGAGGAAAGATATGTGGGAGGATAAGACAAGGGATATAGGATTCGAATAGAGAATATAGATAGATAGAACGAGGATACCATATAGGACACAATTTTGGAGGTACAAGAACATAGAAGGAGATCATGATCAGACACAGTGTAGAAGAACTGACATAACCACAACCTTTACAAGGACAGTACAACAGACGTGAAGGGAGCAACGACATGATATAGAGAATACCGAGAGAGAAGAGAGTCAATATGAGCAATAGATACAGATTTGATAGAGAACAGAAGACTTCAATACCATGAACGAGACATCTAATATATACAAATGAAAAGGACAGCACGTTATAGTCGGAGATAATGACAAGGCAGAGAATATAGATATCGAGAGACTACAGATATGATAGACAGGATGATAAGAAAACTACAAGAACAGAGACAAAGGAGACACTGATAATAAAGGAAGAATGGAGAGACAGAGATCGTGAAAGGACAGATAAACAATATTACAGAGAAAAAGAAGAAACACAAAGAAAAACAGAGAGTAATACAAATGAAAAGAGAATGGATTTAAACTCGAAGGCGTCTCTGTCGGGGGGCAGATAGGAGGCATGGTAGATGACAAAAGCCCCAAGAAAACGACATTATATGATAGGATAGTTGGGAACAACAATGTTGGAGATATCAATATAGAGGGAAAAACAGCCAAAGGATTAATAGACACTGGCTCCATGGTTACAACAATGTCTATAGATTTTTACAATTCCTTATCAAACAAACCAACACTTCATTCCTTAGATCAATTCAACCTACAAGTAAATGCTGCAAATGGAGAAATAGTGCCATATTTGGGTTATATAGAAGCCAGAATAAAAGTACCATTCATAAAAGATAAAAGTTTTGATGTCCCAGTGCTCATTGTACCAATGACAGAAACAATATAACATTACAGTAAATTATTGGAACAAACTCATTCGAATTTGTGGTTCTGAAAATTAGAACACAAGCAGGCATACAAGATTCTCCTGAAAGCATGGATATTGGCTATAGACAGTTTCATTAGATGATCCGCATTGGTATAGTTAAACAACCAAACGCATACCTCTACAACATAGCGAATCCAATAACACTATCACCTGGGTATCAGGAATGTTTGAATCAGTGTTACTGAAATCTTGTTCAGATTACAATTGTTCCACGAGAGTGAGCGTTTGTCCTCGTGTAGTAACATTGGCAAAACCTGGAAAATCAGCTAGAATACCTGTTCGTTTATTCAACTTATCTGCAAAGCCTGTATCTATTAGAGAAAAATCCAACTTATGTCAACTTCATGAAGTAAAAGTGTTACGCGAAGCTCCAATATTTGACAAACAAAACACAAATAAGGATCAAGTTACAGTCAATCAACAAGTTGTCAATGAAGAGGATAATAAGGAGCCATTTGGAGTGAAACTAGAGGACACTAAATTATCAGAAGAAGAAAAGAGTACAGTGTACAAAATGTTTTCAAAATGGCAGCATATTTTTTCAAAAGGTCCAACAGATTTTGGAAATACTGATCTTATAGAACATGAAATTCATTTATCAGACGAGAAACCATTCAAACAACCTCATAGAAATATACCACCTGCTCTACTTGAAGAAGTCCGTGAACATCTAAAGGGAATGATTGAGTGTGGCGCAATCAGACCATCAAACAGTCCTTATTCATCCAACGTAGTTATCGTTAGAAAGAAAGATGGTACAATTCGTTTCTGTGTGGATTACCGTAAATTAAATGAACGTACAATCAAAGATGCCTATGCTATCCCCAGAATAGAAAATACTCTTCATCTTCTCTCCGGATCCAAATACTTTTCAAAACTCGACCTTAAAGCAGGTTACTGGCAAGTTTCTGTAAAAGAAGAAGACAAACCAAAGACAGCCTTTTCAGTAGCATCACTAGGATTTTACGAATGTAACCGGATGCCTTTTGGACTAACAAATGCACCGGCAACTTTTCAAAGACTCATGGAGAGATGTATGGGCGACCTCAACTTACGAGACTGTTTGATTTATCTGGACGACATCATCATTTTTTCAACAAATTTTCAAGAACATATAGAACGTCTCGAAGCTGTTTTCAGTCGTCTTGCGCAGAATAATCTGAAATTAAAACCAAGTAAATGCGAGTTCTTTCAAATCATCTGTTACTTACCTTGGACATGTCGTTTCAGAGGAAGGAATACATGCAGATCCTGAAAAAGATAGAAGCTGTTAAATCATGGCCATTACTAAAACTACAAAAGAAGTCAGACAATTCCTTGGATTTACTGGCTACTACAGAAGATTTATTAAAGGATATGCTTCAGTTGTTCGACCTTTAAATGATCTTTTAATTGGTTATTCAACCAACAAGAAACAAAAATCATCAAAGAAAAGAGTACCTTTTTACATGGAAAGAAGAACAACAGAAAGCGTTTGATACAATTATTTCCAAATTAACGAATCCACCAGTGCTAGCTTATGCCCAAACTATCAACTTCCGTTTATTGTTCACACAGATGCCTCATCCACAGGACTCGCTCTGTACTATATCAAAGACAAGGTGGAATAGATAGAGTTATAGCCTACGCTAGTAGAAGCCTCAAACCATCTGAAAAAAACACTATCCAGCACATAAACTAGAATTTTTGGCGCTAAAATGGGCTGTTTCTGAAAATTCAACGACTACCTTTAGGCAATAAATTCGAAGTTCTTACTGACAACAACCCTCTTACTTACGTTCAGACTACAGCAAACTAGACGCTACAGGACAACCGTTGGCTGCTGCATTATCAGGATATGATTACACAATTAAATACAGAAGTGGTAAAACAAAATGCAGATGCAGATGGTTTTATCTAGACAATACCAAAAGCAATACTGAAGAATACAATTCTACAATAGATAAAAAAACTATAAACGCACTTACCTTTTCTGCAAATGTCAACACCAAACAAGCTTTTGTTTTTAATTTTCCCCCTGAAAATTACTGAAGTTGAATTCATCTACAGAATTCCCCTGGGGGAAATTAGTTGGTCCCGAATCTTTTGTTTAAAGATGGGAAAATCAAAAAAGAGCAACATATATCGCAAATACAACACTAAAAGAAGGAAAAGGGCCCTTCCCGCTAAGCGAACTGAAAATGATTTGGTTTTTTGAAATACTTAGTGAGGGGAAAAATTAGTTCAGAAAATGTTTTTTATCGTCAAGAACGTAGGGAATGATCTCCCCTTAATTACTGTTCCCAAAAACCCCGAGAAGATAATTTAACCTTTTAGACTTGGTCCCCGGGGCGGATCAAACAATATATTTTTCAACAACGTTTTTTGCCGGGTGGATACATGATAAAGAAAAGTAAAACAATTCCCCAATGTTTAAAAAAAAAAATTACCCAACATTTCCTTTATTATATTTTTCCACAACTCCAATGGAAATTTTTTGGGACCCCCTCAGTCTAGAAAATAAAAGGGGTGGATTTGAAAACTTTTTAGTCGTTACGGCCCTTTTTATGATATTCTAAGCATATCCAAAAAAAATAAAACAGTAAAAAACCGTAAATTCTTTTTGCCCAAATTTTTTGTACTTTTGGGTTCCAAAAAATAAAAGTGAAGGGCAATTCAAAATTTTTATTAAAATTTTGTCATTGCGGTTTGAAAAAATTAACACCCCGAAACCCCCATGGGCAAGGAAAAGTAAATTTTAATTCAAATTTTTAAAAAAGCAGAACCCGGGAAAAATTAGAAAAATCAGACTGGAAACCACACGTGCGGCCCCACTTGTACAATTGCATACAATGTCAACCATTCATACTACCACTGGATATTCCCCATACTTTTTAATGTTTGGTAGACATCCAAAATTAGCAATAGATGCATTTCTAGGATTACCAACAGATGAAAACAACAACAACACACAAACTGAATACGTTAGAAAACTCAAAGAACGTCTATCTATTGCTTATAAAAAAGCCGAAGACAATGCAAAACATTCAGCTGATAAATATAAAACAAGATATGATATCAGAGCAAAAGCCGCTACAATAAATAAAGGTGACCTAGTTTTAGTTCGAAATGTAAAACTTCGTGGAAAAAATAAATTAGCCGACAAATGGGAAGATACCCCTTACATTGTTATGGAACAAGCCAAAAATCAAAAACATACCTGTTTTTGTTGTTAGAAAAGATAGTCCAAGATCAAACAAGACACGGACATTACATAGGAATCTACTTTCTACCGTTAAGTAAAAAGGTTAAAGACCCTTACCTGGAAACAAAACACAACAACGAAGATCCTGAAATAGAAAGAAATATAACTTACCTTGAACCTGAAATGAAATTTGATACAAGTGCATCCTTTAAAAAAAGATACTTACCTTGAAAATCAACAAGGAAAAGATTCTCGTCCTGATAACGTTCTAGAAAATACAAGTGACAAATATATTATTCCGGCCAGAAGATGCAAACCAAATAATAAAAATAAATGTTTAACATCAGCTGATGATAAAGCTTTAAAAGGCCGACCAATAAGAACTAGAATAACCCCAAGATGGCAACGGTCAGGTGACTGGATATATTGGACCACAAATGTACATAGTGTAAAAATAATTACATCTGAAATAGAATGAGAGGGTTTTCGTGACATAAATTGTGTGACAATGATAGATGAAAATTTATATTAGATTGTAGAAGATTATTGACACTCATATTGAGAATTGTAAACCAGATGATTATGTGAATACATATGCAAGAGGAAACTTGGCAAAGATTATGTCATGTTGATTTACACAACATTACAACTATTACATAATTTAAGCCCTCATATACATTTCTCCTCAAACATTTAACACTATTCACAAATACTCACTTATTATCTGATGAGATTATACTATATGTATATGATTGATATTTCCTCGTATTGTATTATATATATATATATATTTTTAAATCTTATATATTCGTTGTTTTTATTAATGCAAAATGCTTTAATTCATTTCGCGTATTAAATGTCGGGACGCCATTTTCGAAGCAGGGGGAGTATGTCGTAGGGTAAAAATATCATAAATGTATTCCGTTGTTTTTGTTTATTTGTAAATCATGACCCCGACTTGTACTCCGTAGATTTTCCCGATATTTTCAATAACTAATCTTTTGATCTGTTTATACACGTGACACTTTTTCAACCAATCATAATTTACTTTTCTAGTCAAACCCGTTTTTCAAATTGTATACGCTTTTTATAGTGCAATTAAAACACCAATATCTCTGGATATATTAAATATTTATTCAGGTAAATTAGATTTTTGTATTTTATAAACATATCTCTAAATATACTGTAAGTCTTAAGTTTGATAATTATATAATGTAATAGTATTAACGAAATCAATTTTGTGTTTTGTTAGCGGACTGTAACGCGCCATCACACCTACATGTATATTGTTTCGTTTGTTTACATTTTTGACAGCTGTCATCTGTCAAATGATTATTCTATATGTTATGTTTGTATAATGTTATTTTCTTTATATTTTCAGATTTGTTTTCTTCTTTATCATATTTATTGATAAAGTGATTGTATTAAACCCCAATTATAAACTTTTAAAATAGTTTTGTCATTACCCAAACCTACAAACCTTATACTGTTATACGGAAGCTGAGAGGCCGGTGACACATGCATACAAGCATGCCATTGCATGAGAATGCGTTGGGGTAACGGTACCGGGTAATTGATACCAGCGTTTAGTCTACGCTCTATTTCCTGAATTACATCTATTTATCTCTTAGAAAACGGTCTGTTCAACAATTATAATTGAAAAATAGGTCCGATATAACAAAATTGTATAATTATAATGGGTTAAATTTTATGTACGGGAACTACTTCTCTTCATACAAAATAATGGATAATTTCGGTACCCCATATGAGGCCTCATAACTAAGGGTTATTCTATGTTTAGAACATGATGGAATTTCCATGATTTGTGTGACGAGCTGAATAGTGATGTGTAACATTAAAATTTTGGTGAGTGAGCGTAATAAAAAATAATGTTTAAGTAACTACGATTTTTGTACGGGAATTGCTCGCATGCCAGTACAGTGTTTATACACCTTAAAGACCAGATGATCCTTCTTCATATATATTCCATCACTACTAATGTATATTTACATCTACTACTAGATGATTCCCTGCTCATCTTACATTAACCTCTCATACATCTTCTATCAAAACTAAAGTATATGTTCATGTAGATGGTCTCTTGGTCCTCTTATAATGTGATTCCTCATATATCTTTAATGAACATAAGTATACATTGTGTACATGTGCATTCAGATGATCCTACAATCATCTTACTTGATATCCTAACATATAGGTTCATACATGTATGCTCATTAAATTATTAGGCATATGAATGAAAAACCATTATTGTACAATTGTATGTCCTGAAGTTTAAAGCCTGTTTCCATTTTTTAGACATATGCATATACATTGTATTTATTAAGAGGATAAGGCATATGCATTATTTCACAGTGACGCTCATGATTTCCATAGATTAAGTCTATTTTAATCAGGATGATAACGCTTTATCAGAAATTCGTGCTTAATTTATAGGCGGGGCTAAATATGCAAAGTGTACTCTCACTCGATCCCTTTTTCCGTTTACCGCGTTGAATTGGCGAAGAATTTTGTACAGTATTGGAGTTAATATAACAGATTTGGGTATATGTTGATCAAATTTTCAAAATTCGGTATTTTTTACACCAAATTGCGCAATAAGATCAAGCGAGTACAGCATATTTTAGTGTATCAGATGTGTTATTGTAGAAACTGGATCACATCGAGACAAGGGAGAGTACTCGATTTTATACGCTTCCATAAATTTCCGACACATTTTTGTGCCCCCACGTTAGTGGCGGGCATTTAGATTTACCCTTGTCCGTCCGTCCGTCCTTCCTTCCGTCCTTCCGTCCGTTCACTTTTGTGTCGCACGTAACTCAAAAAGTATTTGACCAAGAGTCATGAAACTTTACAGGAATGTTGATCAGCATGTGTAGTTGTGCACCTGGGTATTTTCGTCTGGATATTTTTAGTATTTTCAGAGTTATTGCCCTTGACTTAGTTAAATTTTGCAATTTTCAACTTGTGTCGCACGTAACTCAAAAAGTATTTGACCTAGAGTCATGAAACTTTACAGGAATGTTGATCAGAATGTGTAGTTGTGCACCTGGGTATTTTCGTCTGGATATTTTTAGTATTTTCAGAGTTATTGCCCTTGACTTAGTTAAATTTTGCAATTTTCAACTTGTGTCGCATGTAACTCAAAAAGTATTTGACCTAGAGTCATGAAACTTTACAGGAATCTTGATCAGCATGTGTAGTTGTGCACCTGGGTATTTTCGTCTGGATATTCTTAGTATTTTTAGAGTTATTGCCCTTGAGTTAGTAAAATTTGGCAATTTTCAACTTGTGTCGCACGTAACTCAAAAAGTATTTGACCTAGAGTCATGAAAGTTTACAGGAATGTTGATCAGCATTTATAGTTGTGCACCTAGGTATTTTTATCTGGATATTTTTAGTATTTTCAGAGTTATTGCCCTTGAGTTAGTAAAATTTGGCAATTTTCAACTTGTGTCGCACGTAACTCAAAAAGTATTTGACCTACAGTCATGAAACTTTACAGGAATGTTGATCAGCATGTGTAGTTGTGCACCTGGGTATTTTCGTCTGGATATTTTTAGTATTTTCAGAGTTATTGCCCTTGAGTTAGTAAAATTTTGCAATTTTCAACATGTGTCACACGTAACTCAAAAAGTATTTGACCTAGAGTCATGTAACTTTACAGGAATATTGATCAGCATGTGCAGTTGTGTACCAGGTATTTTTGTCTGGATTTATTTAGTATTTTCAGAGTTATTGCCCTTCACTTAGAAAATTTTTGCAATTTTCAACTTAAGTCGCAAGTTTCTCAAAAAGGATTTGACATAGTCATTAAACCTTATGGGCAGGTTGCTCAGCATATTTTAGATTTGCACCTGGGGTTTCGCTTGTGGATTTATCCAGTATTTGTAGAGTTACTTCCCTTGACTTAGTAAAAAGATTGACAGAACAGTGGCGCGGTGGGGGCACCCGTGTCCTATGGACACATTTCTAGTATCATTTTCATTCATTGGATTTTAGCTCAATCAGGCTAAATTACCCCGATTGAGCTAATTTAGCCCGATTGGGAGATGTGTACGAACTATTCATTACAAACCTGTTTTGGCAAAACTAAAGATTAACGCGTCAAAAATGTAGATAAGATACATTTTATAGCTGATTCGTGGTATATTGATTGCTTTTTAAATGTCGATTTGCTGTAATTTATTTGTATTTCAAGACAGTTTAAACCTGTTGTACATATTCGTTAAATGGCTGATTGAAGAAAAAACTTATTAACTTTTTCATTCATGAAATAAAAAAGCTATATCTATATTACTTTATTCATTCAAGGATTTTATGATAAAACAGATTTGACATGGGTACAGTCACAGAAGATGGGAAAGAAGAAAAATGTCCGAAGTGTCCGGAGCCATTTACCGCACCTGGAAAGTGTTTGGATGAAGTACGTTTAGTTTTCGATGATCAACAAGAACTGTATGTTTCACAAAACTTTCTTATTCTATCTTCGCCAGTGTTTGAGGCCATGTTCAAGAATGATTTAAAAGAAAAGCAGCAATCAGCAGTTTTGTTGAAAGAGAAGAGCTATACAGACTTTTATGAATTTTTGATGTGTATTTATCCTGGGACATTAAAACCAGTTACAGGTAAAGAATCATATTTTATTAATGCCATAAATATTTAATATTATGATTAACCTTAATTGCGTGTACATATTATCGTTGTTAAAGTTTATCTATGCCTTTCATCGGCTTAACAAAGTCATTTCGGTTTTATTAATAAATATGTTTTTTTGTCTCTAATAAATAAATCGTGAGATCCGAGTTTGAATGGGGTAATGGAATCAATACAAAAGCATCACAAGTACTTTTATCATGTCATTTCATTGATTTCTGTTGAACAGGTGCATATCTGATATATTTAACGTTATCAGTCATCCACACCTTTATCAGACAACTTATCAATACACATTAAAATGAAAAGAAAAAGAAGAAGATTTTACCTGTCTCTAGTTTTAAAAATCTTTAACTGATACACTTTGAATCGAATAGTTTTTTTACTTATAAAGGCTCCCTTAATTGATCAATTGACTTAAAACATGTAGAACGATATCGTCTAAATATGACCATGACCCGTAATTTGCACCGGGCATGAACTCGAGAGTTTCTTAACAGGTTTTTGTTTCATTTGAAATTTAAAAAAAGAAACATAACTTAAATTGAAAACGTTATAATTAAAATACCAAAATTATTGTCAATGCCAAGAATCTAACTTTTGTCTGATAAAATATGTTATATTAGACACAAGCATAGTATTTTCTTTATATCAAGTCAACTTGATGGTGTTTGTATTTAACAAATGCATACTTTTCAATATGTCTACATAGCTTTAAAAGATGTTCTTTTTTATTTTTACCGTACACGTTTTACATAGCAAATATATTAATACATTAATAAGTAAGCGTTCAGTCTATCGACTTGTGTAAATGCCTTTGTTTCCATGATTAAAAAGCTATATATAATAGTATATATTCCCTGGATTGATTGTTTCGGTAGGATATGTTGCGGAATAGGGGAATCCCAATTCGTGTGTCTGAAATACTGTATTCCTAGAAAAGATTTCGCGCGTTTTAAGTTAGTATTTGCGCAGTTTAACGTTCAAAGTCAAGTTGTGTGTTTTAAGGGTTTTTTTTTCTTATCAATTAATTTAAAAAGTCTTTGAATACAGGATTACATATTATTGTTTTCTTTATTCCTACTTTTGTATATACTTGTGCATTTGTTTCAGTTTCACTTACCGCAGAGTAATTTCCTTATTATATAATATCTAAGCAGCAAACAAAAAACAAAGAAAAAAGAAAAGAAAAAAAGAAAAAAAGGAAAAGAAGAGTAAATTATATAATTGTTATATGTTTTGTTTTGTGTATTGAGAGTAAATGTTTATTTACAATTACATGGTAAAACAAAATCGGTTTATTTGAAAGTAGTTTTCGGTCTTTAACAAACGGTATGGCAAACTCAAATGAATTTCAGTTTCATGTCGGCCCTGCCTAATTGCATGTCTTTATTTGTTTTCAGAAGCCAATGTACTGCGCATTGTACCTATAGCGGAGGAATATCAAGTTGACTCTATCATCCAAAGTTGCAAATCGGTTATGAAAAACTGGCTTGAAAAAGATTATGTATCTGCTAAAAAATTATATAATAATAGTTGTAACTATCACGTAGTGCAAACACGACAATGTTTAAGTATTCTAGCGACGTCTTTGCCACTGAATTACAAATCACTTGTAGACAACGCTGTGGACATGCTCGCCAAAATGCCACATAGAATATATTATGGCTCGTATGGCCCTGACACTCTCGATACCTACTGTCAATCATATAAACTAAACGTAAACGGAAAACAGATCACTGTCCGTGAAATAATTGATGAATGTAAAACAGTATTCCAGACCCTTCCTGCTGAGCTTAGATGTACAATATTAAGCAAAAGACTGGCATTTGATAGTGACAATGAAGTCAAGTAGCCACGTGAAAAACGTGATTCGGGCAAAAAAGCTTTAAATATGAAACGATGATTAAACTGTAATTTGTTTTCAGTCCCATGCTAATGCATTTTGACCAGTTACAGTAGGGTGAACGTGTCAGTTTACACGCAAAACGCACGTTACACGCTATACGAACGCACGATACACGCTATACGGACGCACGTTATACGCACGCAAAACGAAACGAAATACGCAGACGCACGCAAAACGATATACGCTAAACGAAATACGCTAAACGATATACGCACGCTAAAACGCACGCAAAATGAAAACGTTTCTAAACCTTTATTAAAATATCGTAATCATTTTAAGTTTTTAACAACTTTACTGTAATAGCTACATGAAGAATTTTGATTATCATATATATGGTAGCTAGAAATGTATATTTTAAACGAGTTTATGTAAGAACTGAAATGCACTCAACCTAGCACCGAAATTAATTTTTGTCACAGCCTCAACAAATGATTTTTAGAAATATTTATAAGCTATCATGCGCTAATATCGAAAGTAAAATAGTTAGGGTAACGTGTTCCTTTTTATGCGCAATCGGATAAAGAACTATCCTTTGCATTCACTACGTAATCTCTACGTAATAGTCCAACATGGCCGACATTGAAAATGCATTGCAATTTTTCATAAATATACAGTGCTAACAATTAAATTCAGATGGATTTATGAGGCAAATCTATATTTTAAGTGAGGATGCATCATAAACAATCGAACTATATAATCTTGAGTGTAAAATAAAGGAATGAACTATTTTGACAGGAATTAGTAACGATTCGCCACAATAACGATTCGCCACATAACGATTCGCCACAGTCAAATAACGATTCGCCACAGTTAAATAACGATTCGCCACAGTATGATTATAACAATAATTTTCTTAGTTTGACTAGTCCTAGTTCAATTATATCAACATTTTTTTTAAATAATTCGACAAGGACAATAATAATGTTTCTAAATTAATATAAGAAGTAATGTGCAGTTATGGCCCCAGCGCAGATTTTCAATTTTAAGCATTTTGATAACAATACGTACAATCTTTTATTTACAAGAACCCAAAATTCTATCCAAAACAAAAAATAGTGATTTAAAAAAATCCCATATATCACGGGTTTATATGACATATAAATCCGTGCATATATATACTACAAAACTTTTTATAGTATATATATACGGGATTTTTTTTAAATCGTTATTTTTGTTTGTTTGTTTTTGGATAAAATTTCGGGTTCCTGTGCTCTTAATTATGTTTTTTTATATTCGGTGTACCTGAGACATTTTCCAATCTATTCCTGTCATATTACACTTAATTTAGCAGAAAGACGTAATTGATGCATTTTACGAGGTAACGCCGAATTCGTGAATGAAGCACTGAAGCAACGGCGGTTATCTCATTAAAAGTAGCTAAAAAAAATTTACCAGCTTCCTTCTATCGTTAAACGACACGTGCAGTTTGACAAAATGTCTTAGACCTGTATACAGAATATGAAAACATAATGTTTTAAATGTGTTAAATGTACATATTTATGTGACGAAAACACAAGTCACCTTCAAAACGGCAATCAGGTTGTCTTTGATTTAAAGAAGTAAACATATTCCAGAAAAAAATGCTATGCTGGTTAAAGTATAATGTAACGGCGTATTGGCTAATTCATTTCATTAAATTTGATTTAGAATCAAATATTTGGGTTCATTTCCTTACTATGTAATTAGTTTGGGGAATAGCATTGCACAGATTCAACGTTACTTTTACGTTATTTGCACATTCCTGCGATACTGGATATGCAAGGTGATATATGCCAATATATATTTTTATTGATGTATATACATGCCAAAAATAAAAAAAACAGGTATTGCAAAAAAAAAAACAAAAAAAAAAACATGCGTTCATTATGAAAATTAGTAAACGATTATTGATTAAGGAACGCATAAAACATTTGTCACACCTTTAATTTTAACAAGCCAATTATCTTAGGATTGTAGAAATATTTAATTGACGCCGACAATTTCCTTTTATTTTCTGACAATATCTCCACAATTTAATTTGAGCCAATTTAGAAGATTTAAATTCACCAGCATACACAGCTTAAACAGGACAGTCCTACTAGTTTTTTGTCACTTTGTCATTGTTAACAATGAGTTTTGTAATTTTTGTAATAAAATATGTTCGTTTGCATGTGTTTTATTCAATAAAAGCTGCATTTAGTATAATTTTCCAGGTTATATTATTAACAAAATGTTGACTAATTTACATTGTGTTTTGTAATTTTGGTAGTAAAATATGCTCGTTTCATGTGTTTTATTCAATAAAAGCTGTATTTAGTAATAATTTTCCAAGTTGTATATTATAAACAAATGTTAACTAATGTGCAATGTGTTTTGTAATTTTAGAAATTCAGTATGTTTGTTTTAATGTGTTTTTATTCAATAAAATAAATCCAGGTTTTATCACTAACAAATCACTGTGTTATGTAATTTTGGTAATAAAATATGTTTGTTTTAATGTGTTTTTATTCAATAAAAGCCGTTTTTAGTATAATTTTCAGCATTAATTCATGTAATTTACGAATGAAATATAAAATGGAAGAAAGGTTTCATAGACAGTTTTAATATAGGTGTGAAACAGTTTGTATTTTCAACATGTGGCGAATCGTTATTTAACTGTGGCGAATCGTTATTACTCTGTGGCGAATCGTTATGTGACGAATCGTTAATGTGGCGAATCGTTACATTACCTTTGACAGAAGTCACGAAAACAGATTAAAAACACAGGATTCTACCACGGATAACATTCAGGGAAATGGATAACATTAAAGGGAAAAGCTTCCAGAATCAAGAATGATTAAAATGCTGGCACAATACGTAGATTTAAGTTGATGTCCTGTATGTTTCATTGGGACGTCGCAATATTTACTGTGTTGTCGCCAGTAAAAGCTTCTCAAAACGAAAGTGAAAGTAGAAATAAACAATACTGAAATCCAGTGAAATCACTAAGGCCAAAATAAAAAATATGTCTGGTTCAGGGAACCCGACCGACCCTATTTTTTTACCGCCGACCCTAAACTTTTTTTTTGATTTTCGGTACGAAAATTTTTGAGTACGAAAATTACAAATGTGAAAATTTTGTTTTACGATGCCTGTTGAAATAGCCGATGAGTAACAATCTTAAAATAATCAAAAAATATTTAATCTCTTATGATCAAAATCAACAACAAGTAGAATTGTGAATGTTTCTGCAGGAAACAGACAAATTTTCAATTGTCACATATTTTCGCGATGCCGCTTTTTATAATTAAAAAAATCGTAGCCAAAAGGAAGATATGTTTTGTTAAAATGTGTGTAATAACACTTAAAATATAGTTTAAGAATAAAATTTATTATTAATAGTTGAGATGGAGCCATTACCAGTATGTGTTTGTAACAATAATGAATATTTTCTTTTTTAAAGGAGGGGGGTGTAAGGTCTGATGATGTATGGTTTTTAAATTATATTTCAAATCTTTTCAATCACTTTTATGGTACATTTTTTTCCATTTGGGACATATTACCATTTTCCTGAATAAGCCTTTTCTCTTTCAAACTCTGACTCCCCAACCCCTTACTCTGCTATACATGTATCATATTTGTCAACTGCATATAAGTGCAGCAAAGATGGCTTAACATATTCAACGTGATCTGGAACTCCTACTTTTTTTGTGCTTGGGAGTCTCAAGACTCCTTCTCTGTGAGAACCCTGCAACTGTTGGTACCAGTTGCACATAAATGGCACATAATTAATATATATAGACTTGCGCCCCCTGAAGACCATTTGAATATGTTTAATATTAAAATTATATATACAGTAGCTGTGTTATTTTGGTCCCCGGAATAGTGCATGTCAGATGCTCTAAGCTATAATACAGCATTATTATTAACTTGTTACAGAGGTGACCTTGATCTTTTAATTGTCAGACCTGTCAGATGCAGGTTAGCATAGTACAGCGGGTGATTCCAAAGGGAAAGGGTACATAATAAGCAGAATAGAAAGCAAATTAGTATGAATACAGGTGCTACATGGTTAAATGACTACATACAAGAAATAAACAACACAATATATATCACATGTTGATGGTTTATTACAAAATGGTGTATGCATTGATTGATTACAATATTTGTTTGAGTAATTGTTAAGCAAGCAACACATCTATATAATTATGGAAATTAAGACATTCTCCCAACCATAAAAAAAAAAAAAAAAACAAAAAAAAAAAAAAACCCTACCCTCCTGATTTTTTGGACCAATTTTTCCTGAACCAGACATATTTTTTTTTTTGGCCTAAAAAAGGTAAAATTTCTAGGGCATTACAATATATGAGTATATATAAAATTAAGAACATAATTTTATTTTAGGTCTGAAACTGTAATTGAGAGGAAAAAAATGAGGAAAATAAGGAAACTGGTTGTGATGTGAAGTTATTTGATTTACAAAGACAGCACAACAGAAAATATTTTTCATATCACTTAAAATTGAAATTTATTGACATGCGCTTAATATGTATTAATATGCTTTATCACAGACACACACCGGTGGCCGTGCCGATTTTGCCACTCAGTAAATATGGTATTGCACATCCGTGCATATAATTTGACGTGACGTCATTAGCGTTACACAAACATTGTGTAAAGACGCGCTAAATGTTAGCGTTATATCATAGGCGCGTAAATGAAAAACTACTCTTATTTCTCTTTTAACGGTCTTTATTTTGTGTATGTGATACAGTAGGGTGAATATTCCAGTTTACATGCAAACGCACATTCCGGAAAAAACACACGCACATTACATGCTAAACGAACGCATGTACCACGCATGCTTTATGAAACGAAATACGCAGACGCACGCAAAATGAAATACGCTAAACAATATACGCACGCAAAATAGAAAACGTTTCTAAACGTTAATTAAATATCCTTATCATATAAATTTTGTAACAACTTTAGCAAGATCGTTTAGTGATTTGATTAAATAATAGCTAGCCATTCATGTATTTTAAACGGGTTTATGTTAACTAACTTATCTTATGTCCCAGGT